AATTTAAGGTGGTTCTGACAAGTGTCGTCGGCATCCAGTCACATGGGTGGCAAGCCACTCCCATCCGGTCACATGGGTGGCAAGCCACTCCCACAAAGGAGGCCTCACCCACAGAGTAGGTTCAAACAATTTTTGAAACCCATCACTGCCCTAAGTGGAGTTTTCCCAAATTGGATTTTCCCATGTATTTTGCCAGGAAATGTACATAAGGCCAGCTCAAAAGACAGGTCCCCTCCAAATCATAGGGGGTCCCCAACTTTTCGGACTGCAAGGACCACTAAATTCATAATTTTAAATCCCGCGGACTACTATGATCCACCTAATGACTGGGTGGGCGGGCGTGGCTAGGTGGTGATGCGACTGGGTGGGTGTGGCCAACTCAATGTCATTCATGCCGAGGGGCGTCTCTCCGGACTCTACTCGTCCCTCCCTCTCCCAGCCATTCCTTGCCCGCCTGGGCTCTTTAGGGCCCCACCAGGAAGCAGTTGCTGGAGCTAAGCAGCCGCCACGAGAAAGAGTTGGCAAAACAGCTCAGTTCAAATTGGATCTGACTGAGAAGGAGGCTCAGCAGAAGCACCTCACTGAGGACTAGGAGCATGGGCTTCCCAAGCAGAGAGAAGATCTGAGGGAGTGCAAGGCCAGGGACCGGCGCCTGGAGGCTCAAAGGGCTGAGATGGTCAGCCAGTTCCAGGCCCTGATGCAGCCCCACTGGAACGAGGCCCTCCGGCTCTTCTCCACCAACGGTGCTTCCCTCCAGCCTTTGCCCAAAGCCCCCCACCAGGAGGCTGGAGCAGACCCCAAGTCAGAATTTCTGCCCCCCTCTGACTCACAAAAAAAGACCTTGAGGAGGGGGACTCTCTGCAGCAACACAAGCGTTCATTGCACGTATCCAGCTCAGTTTGAGGACCCCTGATTTAGTGCAATATAAAAAATGCAAATAATTTTCCTGCGGAGCACCAAAATTTTCTCACGGACCACCAGTTGGTGACCACTCCTCCAGCNGGAAGAGGAGGAAGAAGAGGAGGAGGAGGAAGAGGAGGAAGAAGAGGAGGAACAAGATGAAGAAGAAGAAGAAGAAAAAATAGAAGAACCAGAGAAGAAAGATCTGGAAACAAAAAAACTTCAGGAGAATGGCAAGAGCACCCAGGAAACTAAAGGATCATACACAGAATCGGGTGAAAAAGGAGAAAATGAAAAGAAAGTTTCAAAATTAAATATTCCCAAAAAATTAGCTCTAGACACTAGTTTTATTAAATTAAGTGCACGGCCTTCGGGAAATCAAACTAATTTAGAAGGGAGTCTAGAAAGAGTCCGGAGAAATGACCCAGAAATGGCAGAACTCAACTTAAACAACATTGAGAACATCCCCAAGGAGATGCTAGTGGACTTTGTCAATGCCATGAAGAAGAACAAGCACATCAAAACATTCAGTTTAGCCAATGTTGGGGCAGATGACAATGTAGCTTTTGCTTTGGCCAACATGCTGCGTGAAAATAGGTGCATCACCACCCTGAATATCGATTCCAATTTCATCTCAGGTAAAGGGATTGTGGCCATCATGAGATGCCTACAGTACAACGAGAAGCTTACGGAGCTACGTTTCCACAATCAGAGAGGTATGTTGGGTCATCAGTCGGAAATGGAGATTGCCAGACTTCTGAAAGCCAATCCTACGCTTCTTAAGATAGGCTACCATTTTGAACTTCCAGGACCCAGAATGGTGGTCACTAACCTCCTCAGCAGAAACCTCGATAAGCAGAGGCAGAAAAGGATGGAGGAGCAAAAATTGCAACAGTTAAAGCAGCAGAAAGAATTCATTGCCATGCTGGAGAATGGACTTGGGTTGCCTCCTGGGATGTGGGAATTGTTAGGAGGACCGATACCGGCTTCAATGATGCCTCTTTCAATGCAACCTCCAATGGCACCAGTTCCCAAAACCCCACCTGTTGGCCGAAGACATGAACCTGCTATAAGAGAAGAACCTGAAAAAGATAACAGCAGTGACCTTCCCGCTTTCAAGATAGTGAAGCTCAAGAGGACAAAGCGCAAACCTTCTATCCAGGAATATGTTGAGCCAGCTGAAAAAACCAACCTCAAAGATGTGATTAAGACCCTAAAACCTATTCCGAGAAGGCGTCCCCCTCCTTTGGTTGAGACAACTCCAAGAGAAAAGCTACTTAAGGATATTCGCCAGAGTAATGTAGCTTATTTGAAACCGGTAAGTATTGGGCGACTTAAGGAAGAACCAATGTGTTGCAATATGAGTAAGTTCCTCTTAGCTGTTGATGTGATTGCTGCTCTTAGAAAAGGCAGAACTAATGATTGATAAAATATGATTAGCATTATAAGTAGTCCTCAGCTTACCACCATAATGGAGTGACCTCATTATGGTCATAAGTCATAATACTTGTAAAGGAGGTCATNTCTCATATTTGAACAGACTTGACTTTGTGATGGGAATAAGTTCACTTCATGCTCCCTTTTCTTATGAGGTAATTTTCAAATTAAAGCATAATGAACTGTACGAATTCTATAATAAGGGAGTCATGTTTTACATTATTTTTCTCTTCTAAACCAGACTTAGCAAATGATGCTAGCGGGTGCAGAAGTTCTCAGTGATGATCCCTCGATCCAGCAGATGGAGAAGGAAAAGAGATTGGTGGAAGAGCTGGGAACAAGACTAAAAAATTACATCAGGGATGTTTGCAAGTGATATGCATATTTCAAAAGGGGGCAAGTCCGAAAAAGGCACATAAGCAGGATTATAACCAGGCTCAGGTTTTTATTCCACATAGTATGAACATGTATCCCTTCCAACTATACATATTTGAGTCATGGTGGTGCAGTGGTTAGAATGCAGTACTGCTGGCCAACTCACTGCTCATTCCAGGAGTTTGATTCTGAGTGGCTCAAGGTTCACTCAGCCTTCTAGCATTCCGAGGACCGTAAAATGAGGACCCAGATTGTTGAGGGCAATATGCTAACTCTGTAAACGCTTAGAGAGGGCTTTAAAGCATTATGAAGTGGTATATAAGTCTAAATGCTATTGCTAAGTGTTATTTGGTCCAATGGCTTACATAAAGTATGGTCTAAAGAACATCCAGTATTGTACACTGGAACAAAAATTACCAGAATGATTATTTGGTGCAACTGCTACTCTAGTCCATTATTATTTTTTGAAAAATCTTGATCTGGGGGAGGGGGGAGCTGGGGGTGGCATGGCCATGGTGTGGTCAGCTCAATGTCACTCAAGGCTCCATTTTCAGTTGCGATGGCTTCCTGCCGCCCTCTGCCAATGAAAATGGAGCCCAGAGGGTGCAGCTTCCCCGAGCTCCATTTTCACTGGCAGAGGGTTGCAGGAGGCCATCACAACCAAAAACGGAGCCCGGGAGGGCTGGCTATGCATGGCCCTTCTGAGGTCTGTTTTCACTGGCAGAGACACCATGGGCCATTCCTTCACTGTTCCAGGTCAGGTGAGTTTGACACCCCTGGGCTAGCAGATCTCCAGGGTCCTTTACAACTGTGTTATTCTGCTATTATGTGATGGGCAGTCCAAAAATCTGAAAAATAAATAAATAAATAAAGCTGATTATATAAGTATATTATGATGCCTTTCCTTTTAAACTTGTGAATCTTCATAACATAAAAACAAAGTCATCAATCTCCTTAGTCTTGTCCAAATGATGTGGGGAAATGATTTAAAATTATTTCAGCTCTTAGCATTTTGTTTTTATAGAGACCCATCAGAAAATATCCTGAGGAAAATGTTCCCAATAATAGCAGTGAAAAGCCAATGGCCAACGATACTGCAAATGAAGAGATAAATGATTACAAAAAGAACAAGCAAATGGATGAGGAAGAGGAAGAGGAAGGGGAAGAGGAGGAAGAGGAAGAG